GCTGGCAGGGGAGAAGGCTTGAAGCACAGGTAGCTCATGAACCTGAGCTGGAAAGGGGGGAGGGAAAGCCAAATAAGAAAGAAGAATCCACTCCAAAAGGCAGACCTGGTTAGTCAGAGGCAGAGCTGAAGCAGAGGAAAAGAGCATGGTCCCAATCCACCCTGTCCCCACCAGCACTACACAGCCTTCTGTCCAAGTCTGTGGCAATCGTCCCTGCTGGGGCAGGTCCACCAGCATCTATACTCCTGCACCAGCTCTACTTTGATCAGCCTGATCACTTAATTATATATTATCCGCAGGAATATATTATCCTCTGCCTCACAGCTTGGTGTGATCTGCATAAAAAATTTAGAGTGTAAACTTAACTGCAGTTTGTGCATTTGGTGCTCACACAGTGCTCTGAATTTCTATAGCTTGCCTAAAGGTGTCCCTGCTATTGCTGGCATGTACAGCATACGCAGTCAGCAGGACTCCACTCAAATATGCTGCCAACAGCAACTATTTTATCCCATTTCTCCCAAGGCATTTTCCACACATATCAGCACTGCCTATGCTGCTCCTCTGCCATACATAACAGATGGAGCCCAAAGTCATGGACTAAATGAACTCAGCGGACATTTGTGGACATTTTACAGGGGTGGTCCATAAACAAGGGGAATAATACCTGTGTATTATACCAAAGGATGGGAAAAGGGGTGGTGGTTAATAAGGATAGATTGGATAGTGTGGGACCCAAGCATGATGTAAATGATATGGAATAAGGGGTGGAGCATGTCACGGTTTTGGCTGGGATCGAGTTGACTTTCTCACTAGCAGCCAATATAGTCCTATGTTTTGGATTTGGAATGAGAATAATTTCAATAATGCACTAATGTTTTTGGTTGTTGCTAAGCAGTCAAGGCCTTTTCTGCTTCTCATACTGCCCAGTCAGTGAGCAGGCTGGGAGTGCACAAAGAGTTGGGAGGAAACACAGCTGGGACAGCTGACCCTGACTGACCAAAGGGATATTCCATACTATACAACATCAGTATATAAAGCTGGGGGAAGAAGAAGGAATGGGGGGAGGTTCAGAATTATGGTGTTTTGTCTTCCCAGGCAACCATTACGTGTGATGGAGCCCTGCTTTCCTAGAGACGGCTGAACACCTGCCTGCCTATGGGAAGCAGTGAATGAATTCCTTGTTTTGCTTTGCTTGCCTTTGTGGCTTTTGCCCTACCTATTAAACTGTTTTTATCTCAACCCACAAGTTTTTCCTCACTTTTACTCTTCAGATTGTCTCACTGATCCCACCGGGGGTGGGCGGGGGAGTGAGTGAGCAGCCTGGCCCTAGTTGCCAGCTGGACTTAAACCATGACAGTCAGCAAACCTTGTGTTGGAGCATCACCATATTTCTGCACAGCCTCTTGGAGATGTGCCACCTCCTACAAGCCCTCCTGGGTGCCCCCAGCTGCCCTCACCTGCCTGTAGGGAGGCCACCCAGCCCCACTTTGCTCAGAGGACAGTAGTGATCAACACTTAGCTGTCATTAGTGTATGCATTCAGCTGCTCTAACAGAAAATAAACAGGAAAGAGTCAAAAGCCAGTGTGTTCCTCAGCTACGTGACTGATCCTGCCTGAGCATAAGCATCTCCTTTCCAGCCAAGTCTCTACTTCCAGCCCTACAGATTCAACCCCCTCTTTACTTTCAGTTGAGCAAGATGCTTTTTACAGTGCTGCTTTGCACTGCTAAATCGTTGGCCTTCAAGAGTTAACACTCCAACTGAAAACCATATATATGTTTAATATATATTCCCAAAGCAAGCTCTACAGCTCAGACAGAAGTCAGGTGTTTAATGCAGGAATTAGCAGCTGCAGGCATGTCAATGCAGTATGTTGCAGCCAGCAACACTAACTCCTCTGTCCCTACAGGGAGCATAAGGCAGGCGACAGAAGTATCATAGAATACCAGGTTGGAAGGGACCTCAAGGATCATCTGGTCCATCCTTTCCTGGCAAAAGCACGGTCTAGGCAAGATGGCCCAGCACCCTGTCCAGATGAATCTTAAAAGTGTCCAATGTTGGGGAATCGACCACTTCCCTGGGGAGATTACTCCAATGGCTGATTGTTCTCATTGTGAAAAATTTTCTTCTTGTGTCCAGTTGGAATCTCCCCAGGAGTAACTCGTACCCATTACCCCTCACCTTTTCCATGTGACTCCTTGTGAACAGGGAGTCTCCATCTTCTTTGTAGCCACCCTTTAAATACTGAAATGTGGTGATAAGGTCTCCCCTAGGTCTTCTTTTCTCAAAGCTGAACAAACCCAGTTCTCTCAGCCTTTCCTCATATGGCAGGCTTCCCAGTCCTTTGATCATCTTGGTGGCCCTCTTCTGGCCCCTCTCCAGCCTGTCCACATCTTTTTTGCATAGCAGGGACCAAAACTGCACACAGTATTCCAGGTGTGGCCTGATGAGCGCTGAGTAGAGTGGGATAATGACTTCTTTATCTCTGCTGGTGATGCCCTTGTTGATGCAACCCAGCATCCTGTTGGCTTTCTTTGCCGCAGCAGCACAATGTTCACACGTATTAAGCTTGTTGCCCACCAGGACCCCCAGGTCCTTTTCCACAGAGCTGCTCCCCAGCCGGGTCTGCACTGTGCTGCACTCCTGGATTATGTGTTCCCAGGTGCAAGACCTTACACTTGTCTTTGCTGGACTTCATAGGGTTCTTGTTAGCCCACTCTTCCAGTCCATCCGGGTCTTCCTGCAGGGTGGCTCTCCCTTCCAAAGTGTCCACTTCCCCACTCACTGTGGTGTTATCAGCAAACTTCATCAGGGTACGCTTGATCCCATCATCCAGATCACTTATGAAGATATTAAACAGCCCGCTTGTCCAGACCATAGCGCATCAGTTTCTCTAGGAGGAGGCTGTGGGGAACCGTATTGAAAGCCTTGGAGAAATCCAGGTAGACAATGTCCACTGCTCACCCCACATCAGCCAAGCAGGTTACTTTGTCCTAGGTCAGGTTTGTCAAGCACCATTTGCCCTTGGTGAATCCGTGCTGCCTTTTCCCAATCACCTGCTTCATTTGACTTGGGATAGCCCCCATGGAGGATTCATTCCATAACCTTCCCCGGGACTGAAGTAAGACTGATGGGCCTGTAATTTCCTGGATCCTCCTTTTAAGCCCTTTGTGTAGATGGGGGTGACATTAGCCTTCTTCCAGTCTTCTGGAACTTTGCCTGTTCTCCACAACTTCTCAAAGATTATGGAGAGTGGCCTCACAATTCTCTCAGCCAGTTCTCTTAACCCGCTGGGGTGGATATTGTCAGGGCTCATCAATTTGTAGGGGTCAAGCTCCTGTAATAGATCACATAGCAACTCTTCCTTCACTGGTGGTGGGTCTGTGTTTGCATCAACCTGGATTTTTGTTCCCAAGGCCTGGGGCCCAACACTGCTGGTAAAGACAGGTGAAGAAAGTGTTGAGAACTTCCACCTTTTCAGCATTGTTGGTGACTAACTCATTCCTCCTGTTTAACAGCAGGCCAATATTTTCCTTCTGTTTCTGCTTGTTGTTTCCATACCTGAAGAACCCTTTCTTGCGGTTTTTGACATCTCTGGCCAATTTCAATTCAAGCTAAGCTTTTGCTTTTCTAACTGCATCTCTGCAGTTTTAGTAGCAGGAAGAGATGCTCCTCAGCAAGGATGTGGGATCATAACCTGACCAAAACTATCTGTTCAACACGCAGTGGCTGATCCACATCATCGCTTCCCGCAGCAGCGTCCCCTGGTCCCTGCCAGACAATCATTACATGCTTTTGTTAGATTTCTATATATGTTCTTTTCTGTAAATTTAAAGAGGACCTTCCCTTCCAGTAAATTACAGCTTTCTTTTGGCTTTCAGGCCAGTCTGCAGCTCATGTTTTCATACAGTCTGAGTTGCTCTCATTTGGCTTTTCCAAGGCACTGACTGCGGAGAAGGTTAAGCAGTTTAGTGGTTGAGTCGCTGGTACAAAAACAAACCTACAGATTTCTGATCCAGAACACACACCAAAACAACACGCTATAGAAAAACAGCCCAGATGGAGCCAAGTATACGTGCTATTGCATTACACACCCCTGGTGTTTATTTACAAAGCAAGCCAAGTAAGACTGCTGTCCTCCAGGTTTCCTTCAACACGTACTTTTTGTGCCCAGAAGCTGCCCTTGGATCGGGTTTTTGGTGTGATGAGCGTGTAAAGCAGCCATGTGTGCAGGACCTGCAGACAGCAGGCTTCTCCAGCACATCTACCAAAAGGTGAAATGCAGGTGTGCGTGGGAGGGCTTCTCCACAGCTGAGCTCTGATATACCTAAGACAACCTAAGTGGATTTGGTGCACCTGCATTGTGGCTTTCCTCCCAGAAAGCACACCCATCGTCCCACCCAGGAGGACCTCAGTTGTCACCACAGAAGAAAACACCTTTCCAGGGACTCTGCAGCTTCACACAGCTGCCCTGCATACTACAGTCCACAAGCCACAGCACTGAGCTGGGTCAGTAAAACAACAGCCCCGCTCCACAACCCACTGCTGGTGTTGGTACCTGCAGTGCTGCCAGCCCCACAGCCTGGAGCATAAGATGCTGGTCCCATCCTGTTCCAGTAGCCTTGGCACCCATGGGTCCCCAGGCAGAGCTGTGGGTTTGTAAAGGGGCTGGTACCAGTGCTTAAGACAAGGAGCAACTCACAGGCAGCTGCTGCCCTCCTGGAAGAGATAAGGAGGCTTCCCCAAGGGG